CTGTTAATCTGGTTCAGTCAGGGAACTCGCATTCTGTGTTGATGACCTTGCTAATCTTGTTACAATCACTACATTTCCCTGTTTTCTGTTCTCTATTCTAGCTGAAATATGCTGAACAGCTGTTGACAACCAAGAGTGCAAGTGGTCTTTGATTCACTTCTCCGTTCTGGTTTCCTACCATGAGTCAGTCTGTGAAAGAGGAAAAAAAAAAGCTTTAAATTCAAAATAGTGAACTTGTAAACATTGCATGTGATGAAATCATCTGTATTTTCTAAAGTGAATTGTCCAAATTGTGAAATCCATCTATCATCTTTGCTGATGTTTACTATTGTTTCAAGTCAGTCCAGGAGAAGCTCCTTTTTTTTTTGGAGAATTTGTACTGCAATCAAGCCTTAGCTTATGAATCCTAATTTAAAGACCTGGTGTAGCCTCTCAAGTCATTCTGAATTCCTGCATTGTACATAAAATAAGTAATAAAGAGACTATCATTAATGGAAGTGCCACTAATCTGGCCAGTTGACCTAGGCAGACTTAGGTCAAGAGAACAAGCAAGTGGTTTGCTGTTTTAAAACAAAAATCTCTCTGGCATTTTTCCACAATCGTCTGCTGAGGTATGCAAATCATCAGGAGACCTTGCACAGACACAATTCTTGAATTATTAAGCTGACAAGCACAAGAACAGTGAGGCCCTGTTTGTTGAAGGATTGATGTTGGCCAGTATGCCATCACAACTCCCCTGCTCTTTTAAATAATGCCATGAGTTATTTTATGTCTACCTGAAGGGACCCATTAATGCATTCCCTCAGTACAGAACTGATTTGGCAGCCTGTGTGATGCTCAGAGCTTGAACTTTCTGACTTGAACCCATCTGATTCAGTAATGTCCTTTGGTGGGGGGTGGGCTGGGAATCTGCCATCCTTACATGGTCTGGCCAACGTATGACTCTGGACCCATAGAAGTATGGTTGACTTTTCACTGCCCTCTGGGCAAATTAGGAATGGGCAATAAATATTAGCCTGGCCAGCAAGATCTATGCCCCATAGATGACTATCCTCAGGGATACGATCACTTACAGTGGGAGGGAGGAGAGAGACATCTGTCTCGTTATCCTGAACCAGGAGAAGGCCTTTGGCAGGATATCACACACCTACATAAGGGGACATGCTCTTCAAATGGGCTTTTGGGAGGAAATCCGAAATGGATCTGACTGTTTATACCAACGTCATTAGTGAAGTTTCAATCAACAGTTGGGAATCAGAAAGGTTCCTAATTAGATTTGGAGTCAGACAAGGCTGCCCTCTTTCTTGTCTGCCTTGTTTGTGTGTTGTATAGACTCAGCAAAAGACTCTATCAGGAAGGATGGGAGTCTGAGAGGGGTGACTATTCCATACAGTGGAGGCCTGCCAGGAAAGCCTCCCTATATGTGGATGACATCACCGTTTTCTGGCTCCAATCAGCTGTTCGTGCGCAGTCTCGTGAGCATCTGCGACCATTTCAAACTGGCATTGAGAGCCAAAGTGAATCAAGGCAGGACCGAGGCCGTATTCTTTGGGAGCTGCGCTAACCGATCCTTTATCCTCATCACCATCAGGACAGATTACCTAAAGGTACTGGGAATATGGTTTGGTGGGGCTGGGGCGTGCATGAAATCTTGGGAGGAACATACTGCCAAGTGAGACAGAAACTAGGCAGATGCACCTTTGTGCATGGCTGTGTCAAACTGTAGAGACCATCAGTACACAAACATCAAGTGTCTCTACATACTGAGGTTCTACTTGTCTCCAGTGTTACAAAGTATGGCCTCGTTGCCGTTGACCACTCCAAGTAGTTGGACCTTTCCAAATCACCTGTCCTTCATGGAACAATTTGCAAAGAAAAGCACCTTTGACCATAAGTCCATTATGAAGTGGTCAGCATGTAGCGTCTTCATGACGCTGCGGGGGGAAAAGGAGAGCATTGATCCATCTCAGTCATAGACTGTCAAAGTCATTTGGAAGAATGCCTCATCACCAGAACTTTCCAACAAACACAAGATGCAGCTTGGCTGGTGGTGAGAAGGGCACTGCCTGTCAAATATTTCATGTATGCCCAAACTCACTGTGCCACTGTACCCTGTCCTTGAAGCGGCTGCAGGGGATGGAGACTGTCTACATCTCCTTCTGGAATGTGCCTTTGCAAAAAATGTCTGGAGAGAGGTGCAGTGGTTTTTGTCGAGGTTTGCCCTGAGCTGCTCCGTGATGCAGGAATCTGTGCTCTATGGTCTGTTCCCCAGGACACACCGAGACAAACATTGACTGCACACGGAAGACCGTCATCTGGGTGAAAGAACGCCTTTAGTCTGCTGAAACTTGTTAGTCTTCTGGTGTAAAAAGTTGACCTTGATCAACTGTTGCAGACCTTTAACACGCATTAAGGTAGATAAATCCCCAGGACCTGAAGAAGTATATCCCAAGACTTGGGAGGCTACGGAGGAAATTTCAGGGCCCCAAGCAGAGATATTTGTATCATTGACAGCCATGGGTGAAGTGGCCGAAGATTGAAGGTTGACTAATGTTGTGACGTAATTTAAAAGAGATTGTAGGAAAATGCCTGGGAACTACAGATTGGTGTGCCTAATGCCTTTGGTGGGTAAATTATTAGAGCGGTTTCTAAGAGACAGAATCTGTAGCCATTTGGAGAGGTAAGGACTCTTCTGGGATAGTCAGCATGATGACGTGTGGGAGTTCATGACTGACGAAGTTGGAGTTTTTTTTGAAGGAGTGACTAAGAAAGTAGATGAGGTCAGTGCGATAGATATTGCCTGCATGGACTTTAGCAAGGCCTTTGAAAAGGTACCATATGGTAGGTAGTTAAGTAAGGTTAAATCTCAAGGGGTCCAGGGAGAACTAGCCAATTGAATTCAAAAACAGCTTTTTGGTGGAAGACAGTGGGTGGTGGTGGAGCGTTGTTTTTCAGACTGGAGGCCTATGACCAGTGGTGTGCCACAAGGATTGGTGTTGGGTCCACTGTTATACATCATTTATGTATAAATAATTTGGATGAGAATGTGAGAGGCATGGTGAGTAAGCTTGCACATTACACTAAGGTTGGTGGTATAGCGGACAGTGAAAAAGGTTTATTTCAGAATCCCCTTCCCCTCCCCCATTTCTGAAGAAGGGTCTAGACCCGAAACGTCAGCCTTCCTGCTTCTCTGAAGCTGCTTGGCCTGCTGTGTTCATCCAGCTTTACACCTTGTTATCTCAGTGAAAAAGGTTATCTGGGAATACAGTAAAATCTTGATCAACTCGGCCAGTGGGTTGAGGAATGGCAGATGGAGTTTAATTTTGATAAATGCAACGTGTTGTATTTTGGTGAGTCAAACCAGGGCAGGACTTAAACAGTCAATGATAGGGCCCTGGGGAGTGTTATAGAACAAAGAGATCTATGGGTACAGGTTCATAGCTCCCTGAAGGTGGAGTCACAGGTAGACAGTGGGGTGAGGAAGGCTGTCGGCATGCTAGCTTCGTTGGCCTTAGTATAGGAGTTGGGGTGTCTTGTTACAGATGTACAAGACGTTGGTGAGGCCACATTTGGAGTACTGCATGCTGTTCTGGTTGCCCTACTGTAAATAGGATATTATTACACTAGAAAGAGTGCAGAAAAGATTTACTAAGATGCTACCTGGACTGAAAGGCTTGAGGTATAAGGAGGGGTTGGATAGGCTAGGACTTTTTTCCCAGAAGCGTAGGAGACTGAGGTGTGACCTTACAGAGGTCTATAAAATCATGAGAGTCATAGATAAAGTAGATAGCCAACAGCTTTTCCCCATGGTAGGGGAGTCTAAAACTAGAGGGCATAGGTTTAAGGTGAGAGGGGAGAGATACAAAAGGGTCAGGAGGGGCAATTTTTTTCATGCAGAGGGTGGTGAGTGTCTGGAATGGGCTGCCAGACGTGGTGCTGGAAGCGAGCACAATTTCATTATTTAAGAAACATTTAGATAACTACATGGATGGGCTAGGCAACGAGTGATATGGACCAAATGCAGGCAAATGGGACTATGTGGCAAGTCCCAGGCCAGGCCAGTGTGGGGAGATGAGTGGAGTGGAGACCAGAGCGGGGGCAGTGGTGAGTCCCTTGGGGACTGCAAGTGAACCCTCCAGGATTGATGCCCAGCATCTCCTATACACTTGGCCTGGAGGTCTGAAAGCTGGCATGGACTTTGTTAAAAGACTACAGTGTGAATACATTTTAAAAGAAAGCTTCTTTATCCTTTATTCTTATGCTGAGCTTTTATTTATGATTCTCTAGTCTGTAACAAATACTAAAGTATCCTGTACCTAAGTTGGCACCAAGAGGCGACATTACAAACTTTTCACTGCACTCATTCAAGTGCACTGACAATAAAGGCTAGTTCTAATTCTAGGTTAATTGTGAAAACTGGGCTGCATGGGCAAATTGGGCTGACGGGCCTGTTTCCATGCCGTAAACCTCTATGACTGGCACATTCCAAGGTCCAAGACTATGTGCTGAGGAATGCAGTAAAGCTTGGGGCAACTGCCACCAACACAGTGGAGAAAGACCACTGTTTAAGGCCTTTCTGCCAAAGTATAACGAGGGTCTTTTCAGTTGTCAGACCCTCTTGTTGCATAAATGTATGTAAACAGTGTACTGTATGGTAAGAAATACTTTGGTTCTTACAGCTACAGGGAATGTGAATTTCCTGGTTTGTTTTTTTTTCCACACAAAGACTGTACAGAACTGCTTTAGTACCTGTGAATGTACATAAAGATCACTTTTATGAATCAAGTATATTTTTGCAATAAAAATGAATTTTAAAAAGTGAGACATGTACCCCTGAGTCAAGGCTGAGTCCTTGAGTAGTTGAAGAAGCAGCAAAAATTTTCATACTCTGGTAACTTTTTTTTTGTTTTAGCATTTGTCTAGGAAAGTTACCGATGTGTACAGAGGTTTGTATGTTCTTTCTTCCTAATTACGTTCATGTTTTCCACCTCTTTTTCCAGATTATTCAAGACATTCGGAATAGGACCATTCAGAGTGTATGCAAACATAAAACAATGCCACATAATATTTTTGATTTAACATCATCTCAGCGACGGAACTTACTGAAACACATCCTGGTCAATGATAAATACAGGTTCTTGTATTGTTATGTGCCCAAAGTTGCATGTTCTAACTGGAAACGTGTTATTAAAGTTCTGAGCGGTGTGCTGGATAACGTGCATGTCCAGATAAAAATGGATCACAAAAATGACTTGGTCTTCCTTGGAGACTTAAAAAACAGTGAAATTAAATACAGATTGAAACATTATTATAAGTTTCTGTTTGTTCGAGACCCAATGGAACGATTGTTGTCAGCTTATAAAAACAAATTTGGGGAAATTGAGGCATACCAGCGGAGATATGGAATGGAGATAGTGAGAAGGTATAGAAAAAATGTGGGACAATCCAGGGGAGATGATGTTACTTTTACAGAATTTCTTCAGTACTTGGTGGATGAAGATGTAGAATCAATGAATGAACACTGGATGCCAGTTTACAATCTATGCCAGCCATGTGCTGTGACATATGACTACATTGGTTCTTATGAACGATTGCAAAGTGATGCACACCATGTACTTCGAAATGTTGGGGCCCCGCTTCATGTTGAGTTTCCTCCAAGGCAAGCATGGTATAAACCCATCACTAAAGAGACCTTGCACTACTACTTGTGTAAAGTGCCACAAGAACTTCTCAATGAACTTTTGCCAAAGTATATTCTAGACTTTTCACTCTATGCTTACCCTCTCCCAAATGTTACAAGTGAATATTGCAGACATTGAAGGGCTTTGCTGTCCATGCTGTGTTGGTGGGAATTTTTTTCTATTTATATTCTAAACAGTAAATATGGAGTTATTAGTATTACACCAAGGTTATAACATTATTTTTGTGATGTCATTATATACCTGTACAGCACTGGGTTTGTTACCTTCCTAAGGTGGTAATGATTTCTTGCCTTTAACCCCTCCCTAATCTTAAGTTTAGCCATCATTGGTTAGTTTTGAGAAGTGAACATTGAATTAGTTAATTATTGACCAGGACCAGTATTATTGGCATTAATTGCTTTTTTTATCTTCAGGAAGCCCAGAGAAACATTATTTTAACTTATTATAATTGTACTTTCCCTGTATAAGAACACTGTCATTTGACTTTTATCTGGTTGGTTTCCTCTTTTTGTTATCTTTTGCTCTTCAACTACATTTCCATCTATGTTTTCATCAGAAGAATATTCTGCAGTTTCTTGACCATTTATTAATGATTGCCATTGGGGTAGTTCTTAGTATAATTTAATGATGTTTATTATCCAATCCCACCCAGTGTAGAAGTAAATCTGGGCAGAATAGCAACACAGTGAATGTTGCTAGAGTGTGAACATATTTTTCCAGATTCAGATCATTTGCTGCCTTTAAATCTCATTTTCTTTTTTAAGAAAAAGAGCAGGTCTCATCTTGAATCATTGGTAATTCTAGCCTCCCCCAGTTTTTAATTCCGCCACAATAACAAAAGCCTTAACAATGCAATGGAGAATTAGCTATCTTTGACCATGTATGTGTATTTGATTTGAAACTTATTTTTGTAAATGTGCACTCGGTTCTGAGATGCTCTTTGCTTATTCTACCCCCTATAATGAAGAGATTGAGTGGAGCAGAATTTGCTTTTTTTTAATGGGCTTCTATAGGTTGGTGTGGAAGATCATTTGTATTTATATATTCCAAAAGCTGATATCAGTTGAGTGGAATACAAGATATTGGGAGCAAGTTGGGCTGATAGTAGTTCATTTTTTAAATGGGTATATTTTTTATGAAGATATTACAAATCAAATAAAACATTACTACTTAAAATGAGTTTGATTCCTTTTTTATTTGCTAAAAGTGACTGGTGTGAGTTGCTATTTGTTACATTTCTTCAATGCCTGTTTTAAAATGTCTCTGTCACCAATGATCTGGATGTGTTTGTGTACTCATTACAGATATTATATGTAACGCTTTCAGAGTACAGGCTAGGGGAGTTGACGAACTGAATGGTGGCAATTTTCACATTTAGTTATGGAGCCTGAAAGTGCTGGTGTTCATTTTCACAATGACAGGATTGAAAAGTAGAGAAGTTAAATCTAAGAATTTTGATTAGACCACAGTCAGAGTATTGTGAAAAGTTCTGGTCTTTTTAGAGAAAGAAAAGACGTGGAGGCAATGGAGAAAGATGTAAGTAAGCTTTGTGCGTAACCATTGATAATTTTCAGAATGAGCCTTATTAAAGAAGCTGGATTGAAAACATTTTACCATGTCTTGGAAATTTAGTCAGAAGTTTAATGAGTGTTCTGGCTTATCCCCTGTTTACAGAATGTCAATAACCTTGGAGAAAAGACAAGCAAACCTCTTAGGGAGAGGAGGTGAAACGTATGACTGTTAATTGCTGGATGACCTGTAAAGAAAACTGTGGGGGTGGGTCCATGTTTGTGGTTGCCTTGCAACTCTTGGACTTGGGTTGCTGAAAACACAAAAGTAAGTGGAAGATAGGTTAGGTACAAAAGTAATCTCTCTCCTCAGTTTTCAAATAAAAGTTATGACTACTATATAAACCATGAAAAGTAGGACTGTGGCTACTTTCCAAAGACTCCGATCCAGCTTGGTTTTAATCTGAATTGAAGATGTTTCATCACTCTACCACTTTCTGTCATGGCTGATGTATTTCTCAGCCCCATTCTCCCTGCCTTCTCCCCATAACTCTTGATCTCAGTACCAATCAAGAATCTATCTATCTCTGTCTTGAAGACACTCAATGACTTGTCCTCCACAGGCTTCTGTGGCATTGAGCCCCACGTTTTCACCACCCTCTGGCTGAAGAAATCCCTCCTCATCTCACTTCTAAAGGGTCGTCGCTTCATTTTGAGGTTGCCCCCTCCGATCTTAGTCTCTCTTATAGTAGAAGCATCTCTATTCATGCCTCTCAGTACTCTATCCCCTCGTCCTTCTAAACTCCATTTACAGACCCAGGGTCCTCAACTGCTCCTCGTATGTCAAGCCCTTCATCCCTGGGATCATTCTTGTAAGCCTCCTCTGGAACCCCCTTCAATGCCAGCACATCCATCCTTAGATATGGGGTCCAAAACTACTTACAACGCAGGCTGACTGGAGTTTTATACAGCTTCAGCATTACATTTCTGCTCTTGTATTCTATTCCTCTCAAATAAATGCTAACATTACATTTTTCTTAAATGCCAATTGAACCTGCATGTTAACCTTAAGAATATCCTGAACCAGGACTCCCAAGTCCTTTGTGCTTCAGATTTCCAAAGCCTTTCTCCATTTTGAAAATAGTTCATGTCTCTGTTCTTCCTTCTAACGGGCATAACCTCACACTTTCCTAAATTGTATTCCATCTGCCACTTCTTTGCTGATTCTCCTACCCTGTCTAAGTCCTCGTACAACCTCCTCGTTTCCTCAACACTACCTGTCCCTGCACCTATCTTTTGTGTTTACTACAAACATAACAACAATGTCATCGATTCTTTTGTACAGATTGTTAATGTATCACATGAATAGTTGTAGTCCCAACACTGATCCTTGTGCAACTCCATTAATCATCAGCTGCCATTACGAAAACGATGCCTTTATCCCCACTCTCTGCCTTCTGCCAGATAGCCAATCCTCCACTCATGCCAGTACCTTGCCCCTAACACCGTTGGATCTTAATTAGCAGCCTCCTGTGCAGCACCTTGTCAAAGGCCTTCTGGAAATCCAAACAAATTACATCCTTGGACTCTCTATCAAATGTGCTGCTTAATTCCTCAAAGAATTCTAATAGATTTGTCATAAACTCCCCTTGATGTAGCCATGCTGACTCAATCCTATTTAATCATGCACTTCTAAGTACTCCACAATCTTATCTTCGATGAGACTTTTGAGTCCATTATTAATGACCAAGCTCAGGCTAACTGGCCTACAATTTACCATCTTCTGCCTCCTTCCCTGTTAAACAGGGGTGTTACATCAGCCATTTTCCACTACTCTGGGACCCTCCTTTACTCCAGTAATTCCTGAACGATCACCACCAATGCCTCCCAATCTCTTCAGATATCTCCTTCAGGACTCTGTGAGGTATAGTCTATCTGGTCCAGGTGATATATCTACTTTTGGACCTTTCAGCTTCCCGAGCATCTTCTCCTTCGTGATGGCCACTACACTCCCCTTGCTCCCTGACACTCTCTTGAAGTTCTGTTGTGTTCCAACATGAAGAATGATGGAAAGTACCTGTTCAGTTCCTCTGCCATTTCTTTGTTCCCCAATACTTCTCCAGCCTCATTTTACAGCTGTCCAATATCAACTCTTGCCTCTCTCATACCTTTTTTATATATCTTAAAAAAAACTCTTGCAGTCTTCCCAACGAGGAATGCTGTTTTAAAGTTAATTGAAACCTTAAGTTCAGTTATACAAGTCTGAACAATTCACAACAATCATTAATTCTATTATAGGGCTGGAACATAAACTCTTATACGTTTATATTAGACATGTTTTTTGTAAAGTGATTTATGTTAATGATGAATTTAAAACCTTATACTTTTAGTTAGAACTTGCAAACATAAGTGGCTGCAAATAATGTATTTAAGTAAAGAATAAGGCAAAATCATGGAATCCCTCTAGTGTGCAAGTAAGCCGTTCAGCCTATCAAGTCCACATCGACCTTTTGAAGAGATCCCATCCACATCCACCCCATCCCTGTAACCCTGCATTTCCCATGGCTAATCTACCTAGTCTGCACATCCCTGGACACTATGGGCAATTAGTGTTGCCAATCCATCCTAACCTGCACCTCTTTGGACTGTGGGAGGAAATCAGAGCATCTAGAGGAAACCCACACAGACACTGGGAGAATGTGCAAACTCCACACGGACAGTTGCCCGAGAATGCAATCAAATCCGGGCTCCTGTTGCTGTGAGGCAGTAGTGCTAACCAAAGAGCGACTATGCTGCCCTGAAATTTAAGAACAAATATGCCAAGATGTGTTCAAAATCAGATTAAGGCAAAAGATTGAGCAGAATGTTCTTTTATTATCAAGATGAATTACACACAAAACTAAAGATTGTTTAAATTGAATTAAAGAATATATCAGCCAATCAAATGACAAGCCTCCTTTAACATGTGGAAAGGTGCAAGATTTTGGGGTGTACTATAACATTAAGATGAAGTCTATTATAATTCTAGACATTTTCTAATCAACCTGTTCAGTGATGTTTTTAAATACTTTTGGAGCACATGAGACTTGAACCCAGGTCTCCTGATGAAGAAGTAGAAAAGGACTCTAGTGGTGCGGTGGTAGTATCTCTACCTCTGAACTTGTGTTCAATTCCCAGCTATTACAGAGGTATGTAATAGCATCTCTGAACAGGCGAATATTTCCAGAAGTAGGGACGTCAGTTACAATTATAGACTGGCTCTCAAAAGGCAATCCAGAAGTTTACTAGTGTTGATTAATTACAAGACACATTTTAGACAAATATATATTCACAAGTGTTACAGAATTTATAATGTTTAATATATTGAGGTTGGTTGGCTCGCGGAGCTGGTTTCTTGTTTCGCAGACGTTTCGTTACTATGCTGGGCAACATCCTCAGTGCAGCTCCGATGAAGCGTCGGTGTGTTTTCCTACCTAGTTTTTAACGGGTCCGTTGAGATGGATTGCCTCACTTCTGGTTTTCCTTCGTGGTGGAATGTATAACGAGGTCGAGTTCAATGTGTTTATTAATAGCATGCTTCGTGGAGTGCCATGCTTTTGGGAATTCTCGTGCCTGTCTCTGCCTAGCCTGTCCAGGATCTTGGTGTTGTCCCAGTCGAAGTGGTGGTTCTCCTTGTCCATGTGGATTGAGATGAGTGAGTATTGGTCGTGTCTTTTTGTAGCCCGTTGGTGTTCATGTACTCTTGTCGTTAGTTTCCTTCCTGTTTTTCTGATGTAGTGTTTCTCGCAGACTCTGCAGGGGATCTTGTAGATGACATTGGTCCTGTCCATGGCGAGAAGTGGGTCTTTAGTTTGGGTGAGCAGTTGTCGTAGGATTGACGTGGGCTTGTGAGCCACTCTGATGCCCAGCGGTCATAGGAGTTTTGTGAGTTCCGACATGTTCCTAATATAGGGTAGTGTGATGTGTGTTGGGGCGTGTAGTATCTTTCTGATGCTGTTTGTGTAGGCATCTTCTGACCCAGTTCTTTGGTTATCCATTATCCTTGAAAACCTGGAAGAGGTATTCTTCTTCCTCTTGGCGTAGTTCCGTGTTGCTGCAGTGTGTTGTTGCCCTTTTAAATAGTGTTCGCACGCAGCTTCGTGTGTGTGTGCTGGGATGGTTGCTGTTCAAGTTCAGTACCTGGTCTGTGTGTGTGGCTTTTCGGTGTACTTTTGTTTGCAATTCCCCACTTTGTCTTGCACTCTACCATGACGTCTAAGAATGGGAGCTGTTTGTTCTTCTCCTCCTGTCTGGTTAATTTTATTCCGGTGAGGGTGTTGTTTATAAGTTAGTGTGTCTCCTCTAATTTGGTCCGTTTAATGATGACAAAGGTGTCGTCTATGTAGCTTATCCACAGTTTTGGTTGGATTTGCGGAAGGGCAGTCCTTTCTACTCTTTGCATATCTGCTTCTGCTATGAGTCCAGGGATAGGTGATCCCATGGTCCCGTTGATTTGCTCGTATGTTTGGCTGTTGAGTGAAGTGGGTGGTGAGGCATAGGTCCAATAGTTTGAGCATGTTGTCCTTGGAGATGGTTTCACTGGGGTCGTGCTCTTGTTCCAGTAGTGTTGTCATTGTTTCCCTTGCTAGTGGTATGTCTATTGATGTGAATAGGGCAGTGATATCAAAC